ATGTACTACATCATTTATCTTATTTTATTCCTGACATAAAGTGTTTCTAATTTCACCATCTTTATGATAGTCTTTTTTAGTAATTCTTTTAGAATAGCTCTGCTGACAATTAACTATACTGTTTTCTGAGAAAGTGTTTATTTTACCTTCATTTCTTAAGGATATTCTCATTGGATTTAGAAATTTCAGCTGACATTTTTTTTTGAAACATGTTCCACTTTCTTGTGGAATCCATGATTTCTGATAACTCTGTAGTCTTTTAAATCATTGATCCCTGTAATTATGTATTATTTCTGTGGCTCTTTTAGCATTTTTTAAACTAGTTTTCAGTGTTCGATTGATGAGTTTGAGCCTAGATTTGGGGGGCTAGGAGGTTACTGTTTGAGGTTCAGTTCTTAAATATGTTGGTTTATGTCTTTCACTAAATTTGGTAAAATTTTAAACATTATTTCTTCAGTTTTTTTTTCTGCTCTATAACTTTCCTTCTGGGACACCAATGACATGAAAGTTAGATATTTTACTATTGTCCCACATATCCTGAGACTCTTCATTGTTTAAAAAACATATTTATTCTGTCTTATTCAGAGTGGATAGTTTCCATTGATGTACTGTCAAGTTCACCAGTCTTTGCTCTCTTATCTCCATTTTACTATTAAGCCTATCCAGTGATTTTTAAATTTTTGGTTACTATAATTCTAACATTTTATTTTAGTTTTTATTTATATATCTTCCATTTGCTGAGACATTGTCTTTCCATTCTTTTCAACAGTGTTTACCATTACTTCTTGGAGCACTAGTTGTTTTAATGTCATAGTTTAATAATTTCAACATCTTTGTCTTCTCACGGTTGGCATTTTTTATCATATTTGCCTATGTGACTTGAGACTTTTCATAATTCTTCACAAGCTAAGTAATTTGAGATTATTTCAAGTATTATGAGACTAATAAGTTAAATAAAACTAATACTTTATTTAAATCCTATAGAGAATTTTGATAATTTTTGCTTAGCAGGCAGTTTATCCAGTTGTATTCAGGATGCGATCTTCAGCCAATGTATAGGTTGTGATTCCATAATTGGTTCAGTTTTCAAAGCCTTTGACATGCTGTTCAGATCTGTCTTTCATGTATCACCCAGTGTCCAATCTAGAACATGGGTAATTTTCTGTCCATACTTAGTACTTAGTTTCTCACAGTCTGTGATCAGTTTCACACATGAGAAGTTTGTCACTTTCCTGAGCCCCTCTCTTTCATGATCTCAGTACTTTCAGTTCCTGGGGACTCTGCTTTTCAGTCCTCTAGCCAAAACTCTGGTACTTCATTTACCTTACTTTGCCACATACTTCCTGCATCTATGCCTGTAGAAGAGCTGAAAGAAGACGGGGAGAGAAAGAGCTCAGTGGACTTTATATTATACTCTTAGGGTCACAGCTCCTCCTATTGGAGAGGAAGTTTTCCCTCCCTCAAAGTTTTAAACTCTTGCAGTCATCTGCTACTATCTTGAAGGCTACGGTACAAGAGAATAAAGGAGAAAAGGGCAGTTTTTCTCTTCATTAAGCCTTTTCCTGTTCCTTGAGCCTAAACTAGAAGAGTTCTCCTAGAGCCTTCACTGCCATGCCTCAGGGCCCACTTTCAGGTTTTAAGCTCCCTTGAATCCGGGACAGGGGCTACCTTTTAAAAAAAGAAGAAAGAAAAAAGTAAGGAGGATCACTCTTTGCTACTCTGGCTACTCTGAATTCTTGTCATGTCATCTTCTCCAGTCACCTGCTGTGACCTACCCTTTAGAGTTTTTAAATAGCTGTTCTCTGCATTCTCCCCAGGTTTTATTAGCTACATGCAGTAGCAGACATAAGTGGTTTTTTTTTTTTTTGCTTTTTCCTTCTTAACTGGCTCTGACCTCAGGTATATATTTTTTAATCTTTAAGTTAATGGGTATTCATGGAGGTTGTGAGTTATATTTGTTGTGACTTTGCTAGACAATTATACCACAAATATTTACATATATATTATAAATTTGAAGATACAGGAGTGGGAATATCAAGCCACCTAGAAAAGTATACAGTGAAACATTTCACTTCTAAAATTTGAACACTTTTAGGTTTGAATTCAATAATCTTTTGGCATTCACTTTTTGGAGTTTTTCCTTAGCAGGAGCTGTAGAATGAGAATAGCAGAAAGCTGGCTCAGCGACAGCCTACAGAATGAGGGAGACGTGAACTGGCCTTTAAAAAAATCTGTGGAAGTTACTCAGACTGGTAATGGCTCTCTAGGCAGAGGGAACAACTTGAGAAAAGGTATAGAGAAAGTCCCCAACTTATGACATAAGATTTAACGTATGACTTTTCAACTTTACAATGGTGTGAAAGAAATATGTATTCAGTAGAAACAACACTCCAAGGACCCATATAACCATTTTTTTTTCTCATTTTCAGTATGGTGTTTAATCAGTTATATGAGATTTTAATACCTTATTTTAAAATAGGCTTCATGTTAGATGATTTTGCCCAGCTGTAGATACTGTTAATTGTCTTAAACACCTTTAAGGTGGAGTAGGCTGAACTATGTTGTTGCGTAGGACAGATGTATTAAATGCATTTTGATATGATATTTTCCATTTATAATGGGTTTATCAGGATGTAACCTCATCATAAGTCAAGGAATACCTATACAGGTATAAATCTGCTTGGCGTGTGTGGATATGTGTCAAAGAGGAGTAGACAAACCAGGAAAGGAAAATCTGATTGAGTTAGGCACTTACTGTGCCTTCTTAGAGGTTGCTATAAAATATTCCCATGAACAGACTTGAAATGGTTAAAAACACATGGGTGTGAATTTCAAAAAATACAAGCTTTTGAATTTAACACAGCATGTTTGCAGACACACTCATGCTAGTCCATAGGTGATGGAGAAAGAGCCTATCCCCAGGCAGGATTTTTTGCAGTGTTAAAGGCCAACATTAGGATGTTTTCTGTTTTTTTAGGCACCATGGTCTTAGTTGTTCAACCAAAACTCCAGCCCCAATAATGAAAAAAATTAGACTTCTCATTTTTAAATTGTGGAAAATAGATCTGGGAGTAGATTCTGAAGTATATTAAATACTCATCTAAGGAGCCTAGATTTTATGTCAACGAGGGATGAAGAAATGAAGAAACAAATAAATTATTTAATCAAATTGTACTTTTAAAATTACCTATAATACTTATAAGTAGACAAATTAGCAATGTCCAAAAATGTCATTTTAACCTTTAATATCAATGTCATATTCCATCTTACCAGGTAGTAACTCTGGCTGTTATGATTTTCATTTTAGAAGAATATGGAACATAGGTATACTATAATCAGTAACTGTATTACCATCATATAATTAACCAGTTGGCATACTGTTTATTATTTTAAGAAGACATCGGAGTGGGAAAAAGGGGGTGCTTGAGGTTTGCGAACACTTAGCAAACACTGGTGTTTATCTGACAGCGTTGTAAACACTTTACCAGGAATTTTTAAATTGTCATTTTACTGGTGAAAAGTATAAAATGAGACTTTCAGCAGAAGTTAATCTCATCATTATCTACTTAAAACAGTGTTTTTTACATTGATCTAAAGAGGTTTGTGCACAGTTTAACTGTTTTTCATATATGATCATCTTTAAATACTAGTATGAAAGTTAATGAGTAAAGAAACTACTGAATAAATTCACCCAGTAATCCATGGCACTTAAAAGAAATACATGCTGTTATGCGATGCAAAGATTTTACTTGATTAGTGCTCTCTTTCTTAATTTAACAATCAAACCTAGGATAAATCTAAACCAAGATTTTTTGACTGACATATTCGGTGCAATTTGATTAGGGTACAGATAACTACACTCTTTCAGTATGACTGTATAAGTATTCTGATCATAATTATGACATATACTCTCTGCTATCTGTTAGAAAAGAACCATTTTTAACTTATTCATGCCTTTCATATATGCACATGTTCTTAATAAAGTATTATAATAAAATGCATTTGAATGTATAAAACATACTTTTTGCTTGCCAGAAAAGTATACCTTTACTTATAATACAAAATATTTATTTTGAACCTATGCTGTATGAAATGCTACAGATACCCCACTATAAATGTAGAGGTAGCAGGGGAAGATGACAGATATCTAAAAATATTTGTTAGTACCACTATGTTGTTGATTACTACTTATCAGTAATTAGAGTAATGAATAAAGTGAAAGAAAAAGCATTATGCCTTAAGTGTTTACTTTGGGCACAGTAACATTCAGCTCAGTCTTCTTTCTAGTTTTTTGGTACCCTAGTTAAACAAGCAAGAGTGTAATGGAAAGTGGGCTTTGGAACCAGTCAGACCTGCATTTATATTTCATTTCTGCCACCTAATAGCTGCATGTCTATGGGCAAGTTTTTTAACTTATAAAGTAGGTTGCTACAAAGGTTAAAAGAAGTAAGTTACAAAGCTCTTAGCACAGAGCCTAGAACCTGGAAATTTGTGCTTTAGAGAAGAAATAAAAATATATAATTCTACCATCTATAGGTAGAGCTCTTTTCCCAATATACTACTAAAATTCCAGTTTGCTTATAATCCTAAAATATGTATAATTCCAGAATATCTAATCTTTACTGCTTTTACTTCTCAAAGATATTTTTGTGAGTTTGATTAAACTGTCCACTTGATTTCTTTAAACAGCTTTACCTTTCAAGGACACATTGCCATATTTATAAAAGGAAAAAAATCCAAATTAAATATAATCTGTAATGAAAGTTTCCTTTTCAGATTTTGGGAAGTTAAAATGTTTGTGACACCTGGATTTAAAAAAAAATTATTGATACATAATAGCTGTATATATTTGGTGTGATACCTGTGATATTTTGATATATGCATACAATGTGTAATGATCAGATCAAAGTAATTGGGATATCCAAAACTTGAAACATTTGTCTTTCATTTGTGTTAGGAACACTATAGATCTATTTTGATTTCTTCTTCTTTTATTTCAGCAGGAAAGGAAGGGCAAGAAATCCTGGGGCCTGAAGCTCAGGCAGATGAAGCAGGATGTACAGGTACTCTCCTGCTATTTTCTTTCATACCGTAGTCTTTAAAGGAGATCTTTGTGTCACTGATTTTGCTTTTGTGAGTCCTGAATTTAGTCCATTTCCTTCTGTCTTACTTTCCTTAAATGTTTCAGTACTTTGGCGTATGGTACACTACATAAAAAGAAGTAAATATTCCTTAAATACGGCATAACTTACAGATTCATATTATGTGGCAGATTTTACATTCTATAAGAACGACAGGTATAACCTACAAATAATCCAAAAAAATAAGTGGTTGAATAATTTGAACTTGTATCAAGTTTTTGATATGCAGTTATAGAAATGCAGGTCTAACTTTTCAGTTTCATTATTAGTTTACCAGGATCTGCTTTGAATTGCCCACAGGACAGAAAGCAAAAGAAAATAGAAAAAGCAAATATGGATTATCTATAAATCAGATGAGAATCATGAATATTGATGAGTTTAATAAACATGTCACAGCAAACAGAATCAAAATTTTTTCTTAAAATTTCTGTGATTGAAAAAGGGTAAAATGAAGTTGTAGTAAACAAGGAAATTTGCTTCTAGGTGACTAAAAAGTACATACTCCCTGAGACTTAAGGCTATTCCTCTGTAATGGATTCAGATCAGATTTAAGAAGCAAAAGAGTAAGTGGAAAAATTAAATCAGATCTTATGTATAATAATACCAGCCAGTTTTTATTGTGTTCCCTAAGATGACCAGAACTGTTAGAATGTCACCTTCAAAAATGAATTCCAAATTATTAAAACATTTCCTCTAAATGTTATACTTAAAAGTAATGTAATTGTACTTTGTATATTCAATCATAAATTAAATATTTCTGTCATACAGTTTTCATTACATTTTCTTTTTCCTTCTCTTCTATGGGTTATCATTTATAGATTGTTTTTTACTATGAAGTGCATTTTAGGAATATTTCATAAAGGCTTACAGATTATCTTTCATTAGGTAAGATGAGTATGGTTCATCGCCAACAAGTGTCCAGATTAGATTTTTATCTGTAACATAAACATTAGCACTCCTATGCTTGTCAGTCATTTCTGTAAAACAGAGTAAATCTTTTTGCTATTATTAAAAGTGAATTCCAAATTAATTAAATAATAATGGAGTACGTGATAATTTGTGGTGCCTATAGCCTACGATTTTATATTTTGCCCCTTAGTTCTGTGTAACTTGCCTGAATAATGTATTCAGATATGCTTGTTATCAAATATTTGCCATGCTAAGCTATAGAATATGTAAAATATTTAAGCTGGACATTTGTTAGTAGTAATACGGTAGTATTAATAAACATAAGAGTACACTAATTACTTTTACCTAATATTAAACTTTGATGACTTATATTACCAGAGTTACAGAAGACTGCCCTTCTAGGTAAAATGCTATCCAAAAAGATACTCAAAGGATGGTATTTTATCTGACAGGCTGCTCTTCACTATAAAAATAAATGAATTATTTCAGTTTGAACTACTGAATAGTATGTAAATTTCCTTCAAAATAATTGCACCTGGAAAGCAGAGTAACCTTCTCAAATTTGTGTGTAACCAGAGTTGCTGCTGAAATGTAAAATCTCCCCCATATACAAGATGATGATCCCTGCTGCATTATTTCCCTGGAACATGGGGAGTTAGGAGTAAGTAAACTTCTATTAAAGCTCCAGTGAGTGTAGCTTTAAGAAAAGAAGGATAGAAATTTAACTTTTGAGACTTGAGCAGTTAAACTGTAAAATTATGTCATGCCTTTGCTTTTGTTACTTCCTTGACTTCTGGGGAATAATATGCTGACAAAGTGAGCGAAAACATTGTACAGAGGTCGCCATCATTAGTTCAGAACGTTGTCAGATCTTTTTTATAGCAGACTTCCTTTTGCAGCTCATGAAGTTAAGGAGCTATAGTCTGAACTTAGTAGTCAGAGTAAAAAACTCATTTAAAATATCCTTTGTTCCTTCTGAGCATCTTTTTTGTTTATGTAATTTATAATTTTAGACAGTTTCAAAAATGGAGGGTAAAGGTAAGCGGAAGCCTGAGGACACTTTATTCAGGATGGAAAAAACAGACAGACAGATAGTTAGATAATTGATAAATAATGAAATTTTAAAATATTCAGTGTTTATTTAAATATTTGCTCTCTGAAATTTGTATTTATAGTCATATAATTCTATACTTTGTCAATTTTGAGTTTTGTCATATTCAAAGAAAACCCATTTACATTTTATGCTCTGTGACTTGCTTATCTCTAATATCTAATAAACTTAAAGTTTATCATCTGAAGACAGGACGTTTGCTTTGTGTTTGACCTTTTTGAGATATGCATTTCCCAACACTTTAAATTTTAAGAAACTGCAGAAATTCTGGTCTCAGTTTGAAATTGGGCTTGGTAAATGTGGGTTCATAGAGATAGCATGTAATTTAATGGAAAGAGCTCAGATTTATACCTGACACCTAATACCAACTTGTCTTCTCTAATAGTAATACATTTCCTCTAATTTTTTATTGAGAAAAATTTTAATTGTACAATTATAATGTTTATCTTGTAGAACGTCTTAAAGGTATAAATAGCTAACAATTACATGGTACTTACTACATACCAGATACCCTACTAATAAGTACATTACTATATTAACTCATTTAATCCTTACAACAACCGTAAGAGCTACTGTTGCCATATAAATTTTATAGGATATAAACTAATTATATACTGCCTCACAAATTTCTTAATGGATATAATAAAATTTTTCACTTTAAATGTCAGTAGTTACAATTTCTGGCATAGGAAAACATTGACATTTTAACATCTCTCTTACAGATGAAATCCACAGTATATTAATACCTATTCTTTTTTAAAAAATGTGAAAATGCTCTTTAAGAGTAAGAAATGTTATGTCATAATGTTTACTTTTTGAGCTCTTATTTCCAGTCTATATACAATATAGAATTTTTTGCAAACATATTATTTCCTGTTTGAAGGTATTTTTGTCAACTGTCATATATCTTTACAAGAAAAATATGTGTATAAATTAAAATTTCTTGTAATTTCCAAGGACCACAAAGATCTTAATTTTTTAGAAAATTTATGGATTTATTATTGAATTATTAGTTCATAGTTGATCACAACATAAGTATATTTTAAATTTTAATAATTATTAAAGAAAACTTAGTGGAAATAAGATTAAAGGAGCTAATGCTTTTTTAAATTACTTCGTAAATAGTAATTGTAATGGCTTAATATTATCTCTAGAAGAAAAAGTGTTCATCATTCTGTTTCTATTTTTTAGCATTGAGATAATTGTATTCTCAAAAAGATGAAATAAAATTTTATGTTACAACTGAGTTGCTCAGTTTTTATGCATCTTCAAATATAATGCCAAAAGTTACAGTTATTTGTCAGTGAAAATATAATGTCCTTCCAGCTTATACTTTTAAGTATTTCTTCAGTTTTGTCTAAAACAAAAATTTAAGGCCATCTAATTTGCAAAAAGATTCGTTTCCCGGTCATTAGAATAATCTATTCTCTCATTTTCTGGGACATATACCAGAAAGACTTTACCAATAGTTATTTATCAAAGGACTAATGATACCTGTTTTGGGCTTTAAATTTTTTTTTTTCTCACAGTGACTTTGTTTAATATATTCAGAAATGGTTGAGGAAACAAATACTATTAATTTCAGTATCTTTTACAAGTATATTTCCATGAAAAACACTTTTATTACATGAACTGTATTTTGATCAATACCTTATTATAGTTCACCCAATTTCTGGAAAATTTCCAGTAACCTACCTAGCAAAGCCAGTTATCACCATCACACCAGTCAGCCAAGTCAGACTTACTTTCTGTCAGGAAAAAAAGCATGTCTTCATTTTTTGAACTCAGTGTGTCAATACACATTTTGAGGAATTTTATAAAATCTCATCAATAAAGAAATATATGAGGGATATATTAAAAATACAAAAATTAGTCAGGTGTGGTGGCGCAAGCTTGAAATCCCAGCTACTGGGGTGGCTGAGGCAGGAGAATCGCTTGAACCTGGAACGCAGAGGTTGCATTGAGCTGAGATCGTGCCATTGAACTCCAGCCTGGGTAACAAGCAAAACTCAGTCTCAAAAAAAAAATAAATTAGTAATGAAGAAAACATAAAGTATAAGTAAATACATCTTATAATAATACTAAGTAGTAAAGTCAAGACTAAGATTATATAGATCTAATCGAATAGGTATGTTATAAAAATTTTTATCTCCAAATGTGTACATTTAGACCTAATCAACATATTAGGAAAGCTAGAATTTATTGAAGTAGCAAAATTCATGTATAAAATGTAGATCATGCAGTTCTGAAAAGTGTATACTATTTAAAAACTCATTATTCCAACAGCTAGCACACATACAATTTTTATTAGGATGTAGAAAATATAAACGTAAGATGGAAATTGCTTAATTGAAATATTTTATTATTTGATAAAAATAATTTTAGCTATCTTAGCAACTCTACATGGAATCTGTAAGAAATCACAGAAAATATGAATTTCATTTATGACTTCTATCTAGTTTAAATTGAAAATTTGAAATTGCTTTGAAAAGAATGCCACTGATTTGTTCTGCTTTAGCTTTTCAGAAATGCTTATTGTTCTACCTAATGACAGATCCTAGGAATGATGTTTGAGAATATTATTTGCTGTGCTCTTATCAGTCTCCTTAATTTTTAAATAACAGGGGGGATCATTTAAGGAAAATTACCCTCACTCCCTCTGGCCATATTATATAGTTAATGTCAGCTTCCCAACCAGAACCAACATACCCCCATTTCAGTTGTGCTTTATCCCTAATAGAAATTCATGTAAACAGGAAAGACCAGAAAACCTATAGTGATTCTATATTGCCTTGATTTGTTAGTAAAAAAGATTTTCCTGGCCGGGTGCGGTAGCTCACCCCTGTAATCCTAGCACTTTGGGAGGTTGAGGAGGGTGGGTCACGAGGTCAGGAGATCTAGATTATCCTGGCCAAAATGGTGAAACCCCATCTCTACTAAAAAATACAAAAATTAGCTGGGCGTGGTGGCACACTTCTTTAGTCCCAGCTAGTTGGGAGGCTGAGGCAGAAGAATTGCCTGACCCCGGGAGGCGGAGGTTGCAGTGAGCCGAGATGACGCCACTGCACTTCAGCCTGGCACCCGGCCACAGAGCAAGACTCTGTCTAAAAAAAAGAAAGATTTTCCTTAGTCAGTATTTCGAACTTTACTCCTTTGGCACCGTGGAGGACTTTATACTCCAAGCAGTATACCATAATCCTGTCATGGATGGAATGACCTGACATGAAGAATATGCCTTTTCTCTCTCTCTCTTTTTTTTTTTTTTTTTTAAAGAAAGTGAGAACAAGGGCTACTGTGAAAAAGGGATAAGTAATGACATGAACTAGATATTGCAGTTCTTGGTACATAGCAAATGCTAAATAATTGATAGCTATTGGCTGTATTAAAAAGGAGGAAAAAGAATTTATGGATCACCATTTGTTACTGCCATTGGTTCTCAGGTTTTTAACAGCAGTCACCCTGATGAAAATAGTTACCACTACAGTGCAGGAGATTTAGCAATATTGTTTTAATAACCATCAAACAAACAGATGCGTGTACATCACCATTTTAATTTGGCCAAACTTCAGCCTGTTGGGAAGTGCTGTTTTACTAATTTAGGCCTGACAGTTCAGTCAAAGTCTATAAAGAAGTCATCCCTGAGGCATTTGGGAGTCATACTAAGGCACTGCAGTTACGAGCATGGAGTAGACACTCTCCTCTGGAGCCAGTGGAAGAAATGGAGGAAAGCCATAGGGCAGCAATACTGCTTTAAAAACTCGGCAGCACTCTGGGCTGCCTTCTCAAAGTATAAGAAAATAATTCAAGAAAAGTTGCCTCCACCTTAATCCTACAGTTAAACATTTACTGAGGCAGAAATAGAGAAAGAATGGCGTTGTTTTATATGAGTACTAAAGGAGCTAAGAAATAATATTCATAGATTTAATACCCTTTGCCGCTTATTATAAATCTTTGTACCTATAGGTAATTAATAGAAACTGTCTTCTAAGCAGTCATATAACTGAACTGAACTTCGGGGTGGTTTATATGAGAATGATTCAGATTTCAAGTACAGCGGGCCCCTCTTCCGTGGGGGATAAATTCCAAGATCTCCCGTTAAGTGTCTGAATTACTTATATATACTATACTTTTTCCTATACATAGATACCTATGATAAAGTTTAATTTATAAATTTGACACAGAGTTTGCAACAAAAACTAATAATAAAGTATAGTTATAACAATATGCTGTAATAAAGTTAGGTGAATGTGATCTTCTTTGCTCTCAAATTACTTATTGCACTCTGTTCACCTAATTCCAGGCTGCAGTTGACTACTGGTAACTGAAACCATGAAAAAGGAAGCCACAGATAAGGGGGTGTCTATTGTCCAACTTTAAATATTATGATACAACAGGTTGCTAAGAAGGTGACCTTTTAGAACTAAAGTTTTATTTTTTTCTTTGCTTTATCATTAATTGAGAAAGAATTCAGTCAACTATATTGCCTTCTCTATGTTTTATTAGTAAAATGCAATAGAAGTATGTATGACTTTAACATTTGAAAGGGATATTGTGAGAATTTCAGACATAACAGTTTAAACTTACAAAGCAAAGAGGTATCTTAATAGATTACAATGAAATAGTGGAATTCATTTTTAAATTTCAAGAAATATTTTCTACAGATTCAAGAACAATCACGTTCTCTCAAGACAATCTCTTATTTAGAAAACCTTTGTAACAACTTAGTAGTGAGATTGCTTTCTTAAAAGTATGCATTTCTTTTAGTAAAAGATGATGAATGCGAGTCAGATGGAGAAAATGAGCAAAACCATGATCCTAATGTTGAAGAGTTTCTACAACAACAAGACACCGCTGTCATTTTTCCTGAGGCACCTGAAGAGGACCAGAGGCAGGGCACACCAGAAGCCAGTGGTCATGATGAAAATGGTAAATGGAGCTTAACAGTTGTGTTTCTTTCCCTCTTTAAAGGATTATTACTTCTTCCATTCTACTGTGGGAACCTGCTCTACTATAGGGAACATTTTTGAGGACCAAAAACTTTGTTACAGGTGCCTATAGAGAGTAATCTGTTTTATTAATGGAACACTATGATGACAAAACAGTAATAAATCATTAGCTGTTCATGTATTGTAGTAATGCCACTGCCTGTGAAATGCTTAGAACAGTGTCTGGACATCAATTTCCATTTACTTACATGGCAGTAGGCAGTAGAGTGAGAACTAGCGTAACTCTTACTGCCCTTTGATTCTTTTCCACTATTCTTTTAGCAAATAAAAATATGGTTGTCTGCTTTAAACCAGAACATACTAATTTGGAGACAGTGGTTTTTCTGAATCTGCCTTAGTCCACTCTGTTATGAACGGTCAGTGTACAGAGTGTGGAAAATACAATAAAAATGTGTTCAGACTCTCCTGAGAAGAAATAGGCTGTGTTACAGTTTTGGAGGAAAAAACTTGTTTCACCAGAAGAAACTAGGTTATCAAATAAATGAAAGGGAAATAGAAAATTTTAATATATATATGTATCTATGTAAAAATTTTTATGTGACAAAAGGCTTTCAAATAGCCTCACTGAAAGGAAACAATGAAACCTAAAGAAATGATCCATTATATATATATATATCTCTAATAAAAGTTAAACCTTTTAAAGTTCGTTAGGTCCACATAGTAAAATCTAAAAATCGAGGAACCACCTGTTCTAAATTAGTAAACAGTTGGATTATAGGATAAGTAGTTGAAACTTATTACTTGCAGATATTTAATGTAATTTAATTAAATGCTAATAAAATATTTTTAAGTGTTCTGTCATATCAGCATTTGTTTACATATTCCTTTTTATAACCAAATAGTATTCAATTATGTGTATATGCCACATTTTTTTCATCTATTTATCCATTGATGGACACTGAGGTTGATTCCATATCTTCGCTATTGTGAATAGTACTGTAATAATAGCATGGGGATCCAGGCATCTCTTTGATATACCGACTTCCTTTGGATAGATACCTAGTAGTGGGATTGCTAGATCATATAATTGTTCTATTTTAAGATTTTTTTTTTTTTTGAGAAATCTTCATACTGTTTTTCACAGTGGCTGTCCTAATTTTCATTCCTAACAACGTTTTTAGAGTTCCCTTTTTTCCACGTCTTCACATCATTCATTACTTTTTATAGCAATTCTAACTGGGATGAAATGATACATCATTGTGCTTTTGATTTGCATTTCTCTAATGATTAGTGATGGTGACCATTTCTTCATATATCTGTTGGCCATTTGGATGTCTTATTTTGGGAAATGTTCATTCGTGTCCTTTGCCCAATTTTCATTAGGATTATTTGGGGTTTTTTTTTAAATCTGTTGAGTAGTTTGTGCATTCTGCATATTAGTCCTTTGTCAGATGAGTAGTTTGCAGATATTCACTCTGTTGTTTCCTTTTCTATACAAAAGCTTTTTCGCTTAATATAGTCCCATTTGTCTATTTTTGGTTTTGTTGCGTGTGCTTTGGAGGTCTTGGCAATAAAATCTTTGCCTACACCAATGCCTTGAAGTGTTTTCTGTATTCTTCTAGTACTTTTATAGTGTTGTGTCTTAAATCTTTAACTTATCTTGAGTTGATTTTTGTATGTGGTGAGAGATAGGGGTCCAGTTTCATTCGTCACATATTAATACTCAGTTTTCCCAGCACCATTTATTGAAGAGTGTTTCCTTTTCCCAGTGTATGTTTTTGGTGCCTTTGTTGAAAATCAAATGGCTGTTAATAATGTGGATTTAATTCTGAGTTCTCTATTCTCTTCCACTGATCTATATGTCCTTTATACCAATGCCATGCTGTTTTGGTTACTATAGCCTTGTATTATATTTTGAAGTCAGGTATTACAGTGTCTCCAGCTTTGTTCTTTTAGCTCAGGATTGCTTTGGCCATATTGGGCTTTTGTGGTTCCATAAAAATTTTAGGATTTTTTCTACTTATGTGAAAAATGCCATAGATATTTTGATAGGGATTGCAATGAATCTGTACTGGCAATATGATCACTTTAATGATGTTAATTCTTTTGCTTCATGAGCATGGGATGTCTTTCCATTTACTTGTGTCTTCTTTCATCAATGTTTTGTAGTTTCTTTTGGGGCAGTCTTTTATCTCCTTGGGTAAATTTGTCCCTAGGTATTTTACTTTTTTGTAGCTACTGTAAATGAGATGGCCTGCTTGATTTCTCGTGTAGTTCATTATTGCTGTATGGAAACACTGCTGATTTTTTATGTTGCTTTTGTATCCTGCAACTTTGAATTTAATTAGCAGATCCAAGAGTTTTTTTGGTTGTGTCTTTAGGTTTTTCTAGATATTAGATCATATAATCTGCAAAGACAGACTATTTGACTTTTTTCCAAATTGGACGCCTTTTATTTCTTTATATTGCTCAATTGCTCTGGCTAGGACTTCCAATACTGTGTTGAATAGGAGTATGAAGGAGTGGAAATCCTTTTCTGGTTATGCTTCTTAGGAAGTCTGTCAGCTTGTTCCATGTAGTATGTTGTTTGTTAGCTGTGGTTTTGTCATATATGGCTTTTAGTATGTGGAGGTGAACCATCCTTGCATCCCTGGGATAAATCCCACTTGATCATAGTGCATTATCTTTTTGATGTGCTGTTAGGTTTAATTTGCTAATAGTTTGATGAGGATTTTGTGTCTGTATTCATCAGGGATATTGACCTGGATAGTTTTCCATTTTTTGCTTCATCTTTCTCTGGTTTTGGTATTAAGATAGTGCTGGACTTACAGAATGAATTAGGAAGAATTCCCTCTTTAATTTTTTTGAATAGTTTGAGGAGAACTAATATTAGTTATTTTTTGATAGTTTGGTAGAATTCAGCAATGAACCCCTCCCATCCTGGACTTCACTTTGTTGGGAGATATTTATTATGGATTCAGTCTCATTATTCATTATTGGTCTGTTCAGGTTTTCTATTTCCTTCTAATTTAATCTTGGTAGGCTGTCTGTGTCCAAGAGCTTATCCATATCCTCTAGGTTTTTCAGTTTTTTCATGTACAGTTGTTCATAATTGTCTCTTTTATATTTCTGTAGTATTAGTTGTAAGTCTTCTTTTTTATTTTTTATTTGCATCTTCTCTGTTCTTTTCTTATTCTAGCTAGTGGTTTATCAGTTTGGTTACCTTTTCAAAAACTTAACTTTTCTTTTGTTCTTTGTAGTGTTTTTTAGTCTCCATTTCATTTATTTTGTTCTGATTATTATTTCTTTCCTTCTACTAATTTAGGGTTTGTTCCTTTCTAGTTCCTTGATGCACATTGTTAGATTATTTATTTGAAATGTTTCTATTTTTTGATGTAGGTATTTATTGCTATATACTTACTCTTAGTAATGCTTTTGCTGTATTTCATAGGTGTTGGTATGTTCTGTTTTGATTTTAATTTTTATTTAGAGAAATTTTAAAATTTCCTGCTTAATTTCTTCCTTGACCCATTGGTGATTCAGAAGCATGTTGTTTAATTTTCATGTGTGTGTACTGTTTCCAGAGTTCCTCTTACTATTAAAATCTAGTTTTACTGCATTGTGGTCTAAAAGCAACTTGATATGATTTTGATTTTTAAAAATTTGTTGAGCCTTGTCATGTGTGCCAACATATAGTCTATCCTAATGTATGTTCTATGTGCTGATGAGAAGAATATGTATCCTTTAGTAGTTGGATAAAATGTTCTGTAAATGTCTCAGGTCCATTTGGTCTAAAATGCAGTTTAAATTCAGTGTTTCTTTGCTAAGTGTCTTTCTACATGATCTGTCTAATGCTGATAGGGGTGTTGAAGTCCCTAACTATTATTGTATTAGAATCTCCCTTTAGGTCTAATAATACTTCATTTATGTAACCAGGTACTCCAGTGTTAGGTGCATATATGTTAAGAACTGTTATATCCTCTTACTGAATTGATTGCTTTGTCATTATGTAATGACCTTCTTTGTCTCCTTTTACTGTTTTTGACTTAAACCCTGTCTCATCTAATTATAGCTACTCCTGCTCACTGTGGTTTCCATTTGTGTGGACATCTTTTTCTATCCCTTTACTTTCTATCTATATGTATCTTTATAGGTGAGATGAATTTCCTGTAGGCAGCACATAGCTGGGTCATAGTTTTTATCCATTCAACCAATCTGTAGCTTTTAAGTGGAAAGTTTAATCCATTTAGATTATTATTATTGATATGTTAGAGCCTATTCCTGTCATTTTATTTATGGATTTCTGGTTGTTTTGTATATATCATTCGTTCCTTTCTTTTTTACTGATTGTGGTTTGGTAATTTTCTGTAGTTATAACATTTGAGTTCTTTGACTTTCTTATTTGTACTTGCTATACCGGTGGGTTTTATATCTTCATGTGTTTTCATGATGGTAGAGATTTTTCTGTCGCTTCCAGGGATAAGATTTAAACATTTCTTACAGGGCCAGTCTAGTGGTTATGAATTCTCTCGGCTTTTACTTTTGTTTAGGAAAGACCTTATTTCTCTTTCATTTATGAAGTGTAATTTTGCTGAGTATAATATTCTTGGCTGGCATTGAGAAGATCTTTTTGAATTGAATCTATTTGGGGTTTGCTGAGCTTTCTCTATCTGGATGTCTAAATCCCTTGCTTGGCTTGGGAAGTTTCTCACTATTGTTTCATTAAATAGATTTTCTATCCCTTTTCTTCCCTCTTTGCCTTCTTTTCTGTCCCTTTTCTTTCCTCTTTGCATCAAAAATTCAAATATTTGGTTACTTTATAGTTTATTATATGCCTTGCAGGCTTTGTCCATTGTTTCTTTGTTCATTTTTTCTTTTTTCTTTGACTAGGTTATTTTAAAAGACCTATCTTCAAGTTCTAAAATTCTTTCTTTTGTTTTACCTAGTATATTGCTGAAGCTTTCAGATATTTTTTGTCTTTCATTCAATGAATTCTTCAGCTCCAGAATTTGTTAGTTCTTTTTTATGATACTTATCTCTTTGGTAAATTTCTCATTCATATCCTGATTTGTTTTTCTGGTTTCTTTGTGTTGCTTTTCTGTGTTTCCTTGTATTTCACTTAGCTTTTTAAAGATCATTATTTTGAATCTTTTTCCAGGATTTCATAAATTTATTTTTGATTGGAATCTGTTGCTGGATATTTATTGTATTTCTTTGGAGGTGTCACATTTCCTTCCTTTTTCATGTTTCTTGTGTTCTTACATTGATACCTACACATCTGGTATAATAGTGAATTATTCTAGTTTTTTTTGGATTTGCTTTCATGGGGGAGGACTTTTTCTGAAGATATATCCATGCTGTTGGTTGGGTAGGGCACTTTGGCTTTGATTCTGGGTGTGTATGGTAGTGTAATTTTTGTGTGATATCTTTGGTTATAAATAGTGCAAGTAGGGTCTGTGATTTCCTCATTGTCTTAGGGTGCAATTGTTAATGGAGGCTGAGGTGAAGTTTAGCTGGGATAGGGATGCCAGGTCGACCATTCCTTGGGCCCTAGTGGTGGCAGTAACAGGCTTATGGTACCTGTCCTTTAGACCACAGGGTGGCATACTGACACCTTGTTTTAGTAGGTCCAGTGGTAAGCTGGGCAGTTGAGCTGGTTCTCAGGCTTCTGGGCAACGGCAGTAGCAGTGGCAGGACAACCCTCTGGTTCCGTAGTGGTTCACACTGGTGTTGCAGTGATTGCAATGGGCTGGGTGGGTCAATCCCCAGGCCTGCATGTTGTGCATGCAGGACAGTGCCAGCTGTGGTGATATGATAGTAGCAGGTTGGGTGGACCCAACCTCAGGCCTCTAGGAGGAGTGTTCAGGTGACAATGTTGGACTGGGCTGGGTAATCCCCATGTCCCTGGAAAGCATGCTCTGGAACTGGGCAGGAGGTAAGCTGGGCCAGATGGACCTGTCCTTAAGCCCCTTGGTGGTATGTGTAGGCACTGGCTATGATGGCAGGGGCAGGATGATACCAGGCCACCAGAAGTGTGCTCAGGTAAGGACATCAGTGGTTACACTGTGGTCTTCCTACTAGGGAGGGCAAGGTTGCTCTCAGGGGCAGCAGCTATAGAGAGGAAGCTGGAAAGTATGTGCTTTAGCCCCAAATAGCAGCTGTGGATGGGACAGCCTGTCCTTAGGGCCCTTATAGTAAATTCAGTGGCAGCTCAGCTGCTAAGGAAGTTGGGGTCACTGCCAGTGGCTAGCACTTTGTCCCCAGTGGTGGCAGCAATCTGTTGGGGAATCTGTCCTTGGGGCATGTAAAAGTATGTGCAGCAACTCTGCTAGGGATGATAATGGTCACTGCCAATGGCTCACACTTCAGCCCTGGCAGCCGCAGCCAGCATCAGTGGTGGTTGTGAAGTGGGGTATGTCAGTGGGGCTCCAGGCATGTGGAGATGCAAGGGCTTTGGGTCCCAGAACAGGATGCAGTCTGGTGGGGGTTGGGCTCTCAAAATAGTGCTATGCTGCAGCTACTTAGAACTCAGAGGGTATTCAGACCCAGTATAAGCTGTCTTCAGAGCAATATTGTCATGTGGTCTCCAGGTACCTCCCCTGTATTAGTCTCAGAGCCTACAGTGGTCAAGGGGTTCTCCCATAGCTAGGTCTGCAGGAGTCCATGGTGGGAATGTGGACCCCTAGGAGTCTCTCACTTACTCTTTCCCTGCATTATAGAGAGCCTTTGCAGGTTGCCTCACTTCCTTCTTCCTTACTTGAGGTGTTTCCTGTCACTTTTCTGTTGAATTCCAGTGTCCTTTCTTAGATGATCTATGTGAAGTGTGATTACCTACTGATTATTTTGGTTCTTCCTTGTAGAGAAGGTGAGTTCCAGATACCTCTTTTCAGCCATCTTGAAGCCCCTATTGCCACATATTTGACTAGTTATTTAGCATTTAGGTGCTCAGTCTATTATTTGCAGCCTGGTCCTTTAGCAAGACATTTAATTTATACAGACTTGAATAAAGGTAGTATATGTTTAGAAAGAACTTGGAAATTTTATGAAATTATCTTTGGTGGTTTGTTTTTCTATAGTGAATTCAGAATGAAAGTAGAAATGATATTTACAAAAAGATTTCACCTAGTAACTTATTTCATTGAAGAAATGTCCAATATGGAAAACTACTCTTAGTTAAATTATAATAATTGGCAAAATATTACATTTTAGGATTGTCAGGTTTAGACAGCTCCAAGTGTAAAAATAAAGTTCATTCAGTAAACTCTAATTTATTCAGAATGCCTTTGTTTTCTAAAAGCTATATATATTCGTACGTATACAGTTACATAGCAGATTTGCCAGTGTATTTCAATAGGGGAAATTGCAAGCAGGGTCATGCATGGGACGTGTTTTATGTAGCAGGCTTAGATCTGGCCCCCATCACTCTTTCCTCCCCCACCTCACAGGCACTCTTTTTGGCCTGAATTCAGTCCTATGGCCACACCTACCTGCAAGGGACTCTTGGAAACATAGTCTGTATACCATTTGCTCTTTGATGACAGTGACTTGGTAGTTTCATTTTCAAAATCAGAGGAATAAACATTAAATAAATAATAATACCATTGCTACCAATAGAAAGACTCTGTTGTAGAGCACAATTCCCTTTTAATATGTATACATTTTACAAAGGCAACCCACATTCTAATTTTACTTTTGTTTTCTTTTCTAGCTAATCACATGACAAAAGGGAAGAATTGTGGTTTAGGGGAAAAGATGGGTCTTAGAGGTCAGACAGCCCGTATTTGAATCCTGACTTCATCATTTTCTGGCTCTCTGACTTTTAAGTTGTTTAACCTTCCTGGGCATCAGTGTTCAGTCTCTTATAAAACAGAGATGAGTATAACTGTATTGTTTTGAGGATCAGATATAAAGTGGGTAGCACAATATCTGGAACATAGCATAGGGACTCAGTGGAAACTTTGGTAATATTTTCTGAATGTTTTCAGTTTAAAATATATGATCTTTATTTTACAGGAACACCAGATGCATTTTCACAATTACTCACCTGTCCATATTGTGATAGAGGCTATAAACGCTTTACCTCTCTGAAAGAACATATTAAATATCGTCATGAAAAGAACGAAGATAACTTTAGTTGTTCCCTGTGCAGTTACACCTTTGCATACAGAACCCAACTTGAACGTCACATGACATCACATAAATCAGGAAGAGATCAAGTAAGTGCAATGACTGAGAGAGAGTTCACTAACTTTCCAGATTTTAACAACTCAGCCCTCAATGAAAAGCAAGGATTTTAATATATTTAAAAGTCAAAGGGGTGTACAAAACAGCACTGTCTCCAGCCTTATAAAAGTAAAAATGATTATGAATTTGATTCCTGAGATTAAAAACCACACAAAAACATTATTTTAGAGGTAACTCAGAATATTTTTCAGGTAAGATCCTTTCCATCTTGATTTAATTACTTATGCCATAACAGATAATTCTTCAAGTTTAGAAGATTTTAAGTTACATTCTATTAAAATGTTCAGTGTATGAAAAATAAGTACTGACTATATAAACCACATCGTACTAAACAAATTGCCCAGAAAGTCAAATAAAAAAAATTTAATTTCCTTTGAACCAGTGACTATTTATTCTCAGTATAAGCTACTGTGGGTTTTTTCCCCCACAGTAAAGGGAGTTGCCTCCTCTAAAAATCTAAAGTTTAGATTTTTTTTATTCTGAAGACTCAATTTTCATATGGTTTATTTTACTTCTACGTTACTGTGCCTCAGTTTTTAGAAGTATAAACTAAGACTATTTTGTAACTATAAGTTACATTTAAACTGCTGGTTCTATATTTAGGATTAAAGTCAAAAAAGCTTTTATCAACTGTTCTTCTTTAACATAGTCCTGGTATGTTATCAAGTATCAACAATCAAATTAATATTGCCTTAATTCTAACTTTAAAAATTAAATAAATGTTCAACCACACAGGATTTGTGACGGTATATGTTGGGGTTAGGGCACATTTCCAGTTTTTTACATCACAGAATGATGTATATCTACATACCGGAACTCTGCCCTATGGATGTACCTAATATGTGTCACATATCCCATAGAGAACAAGTTGAAACATTTGCTAAGGTGATGGCTAGGCCAAACAAACAACACACAAAAATTGTAACAGAATAAGAATTGACTGAGCAGAGTCAACCTATTTCCTTAGTACTTGGCAACAGTACTTACAAAATAACAAGATAATAAGAGGTTGGTAATGAGGGAGAACAGAACCAAGATTTTATAGGTTAATGGTTAAGTCCATGGAGGAGCACTTGAAACAGGTGAGAGCTCCAAGAGAAGGACAAAATTGATACAGAGAAGGGACTATTCTACTGAAGACAAACACCGTCTCCTTCCAAGTGCCCCTATTAATGAATCTTATCAGAGACACCAGCAGAAGAGTATGTTTTATACCTTAGACCTCTGACGTGGTGACAGTATAGACAAGGCTTGGCAAAGAGCCTACTCACATGACATTCACAAAGCAGACCCATCCTGCAGCTGCTGCCACCATATTCCTTCTACTCCAAGGGCCAGCATGAAAGGAAAGGACAGGTTGAACTGGTGGTGAAAGCAGAAGATGCCATTATAAAAACAAATTCTAAAATCTTTGTTGAGCATGAAAACCAATTCTGTGATGATTTTTCCAGTGGGTGCAAACGTAGTAGGTTTCATATATAAACTATGGCTCAGAATAACGTCAGGAAGGAGCTGTGATAAATATGGGAACCAGTAATGTGAGGAAATATAACTGGAAGGTCTTGGAAACAATTTAGTTTGCAAAGCAGCGAACTAAAAGGTAGAATGTCTATTTTGCTGGCCCTTGGGAATCACACTGTGAGTAACAAATAAGTATTTTCAAGTCTTCCTAACGTATTTATTCAACAAACATTTGCCTTTCTGTTATGTGTGAGGGCCTCTTCTGGATGTTAAAGGCACAGTAGTGAAAAAGAAAGTCCCTGAGAGCAGGAACCATACATTGGTAGATTATATAAAACAGAAATAAAATGATAAGTAGATACTATGAGGAAATATAGCAGGATAAGAGGATAGAAAGTGATGAAAGCTGCTAGGTTTCACAGAAAAGGGAGACTTTTCTGAGAATGGGACAGCTGACTATAGAGAAGGAGCCAGTCATGGAATACTGAGGAAGGGCATTCCAGTCAGAGGAAACCACAAAACATAAGAAAGCCTTGAGGCCAGAATCTGCCGGGCTCGCCCTGAGAACAGCAGAGGCCAGAGAGGTATTGGGGGCTATATGTTATAGGCCCTTTTGTCGGCCAAGATAAAGACTTTGGGTTGTATTTTAAAGTGCAGTGGGGAAGCCTGTCGAGGATCCTGGAATTTTCAATTTTTATTTTTAAGGGAACACTGATTGTTGGATGATAGATCAAGAGAGACAAGAACAGAAGCAGGGTAGAGACTTTTCTTGTAATCTAAGCCAGAGGTTTTGGTGGCAGATATAAGATTGTTGGCTTCAGAATATATTCATATGCTTGCTGATGGATCAGATGAAGGTACATGAGTAAGAGGGTAATCAAGAATAATTCCAAAGTTTTTAAGGCCTAAGTTATAACCAAATAAATAAGGGTGCTAGTCACAGAGATAGGAAATACTAGAGAAGGAGCTGGCTTGCAGGAGGGAAATTAAGAGTCTGGTGTTAATCATGCTAAGTTTCAGATGCCTATCACCTTCCAGCTGGCAGTATCAAAGAAGCAGTTGGCTCTAAGAGTCTGGAGTTCAGGGGAGAGGTTTAGAGATACAAATTTGGGAGCTGTCACCATATATTTGGTATTTTAAGCCATAGGTCTGGATGAAGTAGGACCTGATAGAGAATAAGTACTCATTCTCTTTCTTTACTGTAAAAAAGACAAGGAAGGGATATTCCAGCTGGGAGAGCATGAAGCAGCAGTTGAGTTAAGCCATTAAAGGATGGGTAGAATCTTAGTAGTCAGAATTACGTGAAAACACAGTGAAGGAATAAAGAATCATGTAATCCAAAGCCAAGAGATAGAGAGGAGCAATATGTGTGCAAAAAACCATGGCTCACTAATGATTGAGGTGTGGACTTATCATAGAAAACTGGTGAAGAATCATCTTGGAAACTCAGAGACTATAATCTTGGAATCTGTAGACTCTGAATCTTTATTGAAGGGTTAATGGGGATCCTTCAGAGGTTTATGAGAAGGCGTTAATAAAATTCAATTCAAGCAATGCTTTTGTAAGATTAATATAAGTATGAAGAATACATTTGAAATATACAAAAATGGGAATTTGATAAACCAGACAGAAAGCTATTATAATAATCTACATTTGGCTGAAACAAATGGAAGTATTTTTTTAATCATCAGATTAAAGTACATTTAGGAAATACCAAATGGAAGAGACAGGATAAAGTACAGGAAAAAGCCTGTCTTTTCTTCTATTCAAGACCTTGTTCTATTGAGTGAGTGAGCCTTAGACAGGTTATTCAGTATTTGTGGACACAGTTTCTATATTTATAAATTGGAGTACAAACAAATTAACCTGTAAGTTCCTACCAAAGTATATATTACTTTATTTTTGCTAATTTTGAATACTGTTTAATAAAGATGAACTCTGATACTTTAAATTAGAAAGTTGATATTTTTCTGTATCAAATTCTGTTTGCATTATCACTATCCTTTTTGGTAATAATTTCAAGAGTTAGATTTTTTTGACTGCTACAATTTGAGGTCTTTAAGAAACAAAACAATCATCAGGCTCACAAAAATGTTACTCTTAGCAGATTGGATGTATCTAAAGATCTTTTGCTTTACAAATAAAATACCAATTCTTTCTTACAGAGACATGTGACGCAGTCTGGGTGTAATCGTAAATTCAAGTGCACTGAGTGTGGAAAAGCTTTCAAATACAAACACCACCTAAAAGAGCACTTAAGAATTCACAGTGGTAAATATTTTTTTTCTTTCTACACTCTGAATATCATAGCATATGTGGTAATAAATAAATCTATCACAACATGTAATCTACATACATGATCAGAAACTCCTTGCATTTCTTTTGGCATACACTACTAGGGAGAAATTTTATATTTATTATACGTTTTATTAGAGTCTTAAACTTTGACTAAGTGTATCAAATTAATATATAGTATGACATACTCCAGATTTCCTAATCAGAAGATAATATAGTATATTTTTATAAATATAACCTGAAAATGCATTAGCTTTCTAATTAATGTAAATGTCATCGCCTCATTTGACAATTAACAGGGGAATGAAAAAGAGTTTAGAGATACAACTTGCACAAGAGAATAGGGAAGTGAAGATATCCTATATGTGAGAAAAGTAGAAATGGAACTCAAGATTGGAAAATATTGGAGAAGTTATATGGAGGCAATGAGAGGGGGTGAAAGGAGTATAGCAGTAATGAGAATATAAAAGAAAAATGTGCTTTCCCACCATCTTCACCTTTCTATCTCATGTCATTCTCTCAATTATCACTTACAAGGTTAATGTTATGTGATGAAAGTGTTGTGTCTACTTTAGGAACTCGGAGTAAACAGCCATATTTGCATTTCTTTGGAGACTCTACTTGAACAAAAGTGCAAAAGGAAAACTTGCTAACATCTCATGATGCCCTATGACATCTGTTTATCTCCTGATAAATTTTGATATGTTATTTTAGATTTAAGTAATTTTAATGAAAAAATTACTAACCATGAATGGGAAATGTGGGTGTTTGCCCATTGCTTATTTTGTGAAAATTATGTATTGGCATTCACATTTTACAAATATCTTCCTACAAAAAAGGTATACTTGGATAGCTTTGTGAAGTGTGGTTGGTGATACTTAACGTTTTATTTTGGAACTGCATTTCTAAAAGTTTTACTGTATTGCTCATTGAGGTTAATCCTCAATTTGATAAAGGTGCTGAAGTTACCACTTGAAAATGCTCAAACCAAGATCCTTACCAAAACATTTATTTTCACACATTAATTAATGTTTCTGAAAAGTAGAGGTTGTCTTTTCCAGCCTACCACAATATCCTATTTCTTAGCTCCTATGCTATGGAACAGTTTTTATCAATAATAATATATTTTAACAACCTACCTTCTTATCACAGATGATTTAAAGTTGTTAATAGAGATATAGCTAATTGAAGAGGGATTTTTAAATGTTGAAATCAGAGCAGAGGAAGGAAAATAAAATTAACAGTAAGATTTATGTATATAATGAGTCATTCATTTTGTCATATTTCAGTCATATAGGAAGATTTATCAGATTTATAAATAATACAGAGTTGGAAAGCATAAATCAGAACAAGGATTGAAATACTGGTCTAGAAATAAGAAGTTGAAAGTTAAGCATTGATATTTAAAAATCAGTTTCAATCAAGTAGTAAATTTGAATGGCCTAGAGCTTAATATGGGCTGACTGTATGCTGCTACTGCTCAAAAGCTAATGCAAATTTACACCAGATCATGGAACACAAAGCTCCCACTGTACTCGGCACTGTCGATTCATTATGTACTTATTTCTGTCTTGTTTTTAAAACCGTCTAATATGAGGTTTGTATACCTTTAATATAGCAAGTAATTTTAATTTAAAAATATGTAAGAAAAATTAAAGTAAGACTCACATGAAGTAAATTGTAGGGGGAAAAATGAATGCTGTGAAATGCCATCCATATGCTGGAAGTGGACTACAAATTAGGCTCTAAGTAAACGACAATCAGTAACCAAGACCCAGGTTGTCTTTAAGTTTAAAAAAAAAAAAAAATCAGTTGCTAGCAGGACTATTCTTCCCTCCTGATACCAAGTCCATAGAAAACGATATTCCTTGAAACAACATAAAGAGAAAAGAGCAAAACAGAAGTTATATTAATCCTCAGAAATATCCTTAACATAAAACAGCAGAGAATTGATAGGGTTTCTTTAAATCAGATTATTCAATAGAAGCCAGTGATAGTTCACCAAAGTGCGATTTAAGAAGCATTGCTCCAGAGTGGCCACGTAGATACAGTTTAAGTATATAGCTCTCTGATGGTCTGGTTTATTCCAAGAGAAGATTTTGGAGCAAAGGCTACCCAAAATGTCATCTCAGGACTGGTACCAGTCTGCAAACCATGTGTTACTCATTCGTGAAGAGATAAGTACAGAAATTGAAAGTAGGCATTTAGCATTTATTATACCAAGACTTTGTGACATTTTATTACGTTTTATAAAATATTGGTCCACAGTAGATTGGAAGTTTAAAACAAAAAAGAAGCAAACAAAATCAATCAGGTTTTCACCACAAATAGTTTGAAAAGCTCTGCTTAGTATCTAATAATGGATGAACTCAATATCCTTTAGGAAACCTCCATAACTTTCTTTTCAGATGATTTTTTAAAAGATGTTGAAGATCAGGATCCAAAATTTATACCCTCTAAAATTACCTATGTTGTTGTTAAATACTGATACCCAAAAAATTTTGATCATGACCCTATGCAGAACCATGTGTGTTAATAATTAACTGATTCTACATGTAGGAATTGAGCTGTCTTGAGGGAAGGCCACCAGACCTCCACTCAGATTAGAAACAAAACAACACCTGCACATGGCTGTGATCCACCCCCAAAAATAATTTGCCATGGTCTTAGTAATTTTGCCTGGAAAATTTTTAGGGGCAGATACAGCCAAACACCCACCTCAGCCATTAAAATAAATATATATATACATATATATATATATATATATATATATATACATATATATACACACACACACACCACACATATATATACACATATATGTGTGTATATATGTATATATACACATATATGTGTGTATATATGTATATATACACATATGTGTGTATATATGTATATATACACATATATGTGTGTATATATGTATATATACACAATATATGTGTGTGTGCGTGTGTATGTGTGTGTGTGTGTGTGTGTGTATATATATATATATCAGTATACATAGTATACCAAACTTTGAGTAGTAAAACTTCCTGATGTAACCTTAAAGTTAAACTAGTTGCAAACCCTAACCTTGATAAATTGGGTGATATGCCTAAGCTATAAACAATAAAGCTATGAAGCTAGAAACAGGGAATTTTATATATAGTGACTTTGGCTTCAGAATAATTGTTCTATAGACTTTCTTTCTGGCAATGATAAAATATCAAGGTAAATTTTTTAATAATAATTATAACTAGCACTTACTGGATCCTTAGCTATGTACAACCACATTAGTTATTTGTATGCATTAATTCTTATAGTGCTCAGGATAACCCTATGGTATAGATTCTATTACTTTCTTCTTTTTACTGATGAGAAAATTGAGGCTCAGAGGTCTTAATTAACTTGTCCAGGGTCACTCAGCTAGTACATGGCAAAGCTAGGGCTGTGATGTAGTCATCCTGACCCAAAGTCATTCCCTTACCTACCATTCTCCTCTGTCTCCCTGTGTTAAACAATGAAATAGTCTGTATTACAGATGTTTATCTTTCTAGTGTCTCTAGAAGGAAAATAATCATGTAGTTCATGTAAAAATGTTATCAAGTAACTAAAAATGTTAAAATAGAGATATATTAGAATATATTCCTTGTTTTACCCCCACTGGAAACTTTTGTCTGATGTATTTTGAGCACTGAATCCTATTCCAGGCATTGCATTGGAAAAATATTGATAAATTGGAGAATATCCAGAGGTGGGTTAACAAGCAGGTAAGAGTTCTGAAAACCACATAGTGTGCAGAATGTTTGAAGGACCTAGGAATATTTAACCTGCAGAAGAGAGTTTGGAAATACTTACAACAGCTCTTGATCCATGTGAAGGCCTGGCTTTAGAAGAAAAGTTATACTTGTTCTGTGTGGCATCAGAAGGACAAATTAGGGAACTAGGCACAGCAAGCCAACTGGCTCAGACTCAACCCATCTCTTAGTAGAACTGCCTTTTTAAAAAGTAACTAGCATTTGTTAAGAGCATACTAACAGTTTTGCTGTATGATCTCATATAGCCCCTACAAGAGTCCAGCGAGAATGTATCTGCATTTGCACGTTGAAAAACCGAGGCTTGGAAAGGTTAAGAAAACAGTATGTGATAGAGTCAGGATTTGAACCCAAATCCATGGACCTCAGCAGAACCAGATGGGACCCTCTTGTGCAGGGGTTTTACAGCAGGTCATAACTCCCCTTTTATTGAAGAAGCTCAGAGACTAGCTGGTGTCAAGGATGATATGAAATGAACTCTTTATTGAAAGAAGGCTATACTACAATAAATCTCTTAAATCTCTTCCAATTCTTATATATATTTTTCAAATAATTTTATTTCTGAGAAAATATAACTTACATTTTAAAACGTGATAGCTTTGAAGTTACTGTTGAAGCAATTGTTAGCAGGGCTTAAAGTGACTTCCTCACTGCTTTTAATTATTAGAAAAGGAGATGGAGAGCTTTATTTTGATACTAAGTAGACAAATCAGTGTCATCACATCTTCTTATACAACAATTAGCCATTCATTCATCCAAAAAAGGTTTAATGAGCATCTTTACGACCTACGCTTTGACGGGTGCAAGGGATAAATGGCAAACAAGCCTCACAGGCTCCTGCCTTACTGAAGCTTATAGTCTGTAACCTTTAAATCATAAGTTAGTGAGCTATAACTTAAAACTCAAGTGAAAAATTAGGTTTGTAGGAAAATATTCCATTTAGCTAGGTGCTTTCAAAATTTGCTAACAAAATATCCCTAACAGCCAAGGAGAATAAATGCCTTGTACCCCATAGAGTCTACAGAAGCAGTTTGAGGGAAGCCTCCACAAGCAGAAGGCTACTTTGACAGTGTGTGGCTTTTCCTAGTAAGTCACACAACATTTGTGTTTTTCTCTATCATATAACCTGTTTTGATGTAAAAACTGTTTTATCCTATCCACTGTCACTATAATTGAAACTCCAAGGTGCTTTGCATACTCCCTACAATGTTTATCCTGGGGGGTATATACATTCCAGTTTAATAAGCTAATGCTTATAGAATATCTTACATTTAAAGTTTTCCTCCCATTAGAGAAAAAGTATTTTCAAGAAAGCCCTATGGGTACAGGAATTTTTATTAATCAAAGATAGATATTCATACTCATTAAGTCATATGGGACATTTTACTTATTTTTCTTTTCTTTAATATTAATTTCTCCTACAGATGGTTGAGTAAAATATAGAAAATTATATAGGTCGGTGAAACAGGATAAGAAAAAAGCATACTTGAAAGAGTAGAATGTAATTATTTTGGGTACTTGAGAATTATTTGACGTTATAAAGGTTGGCAGAAATTTTATACACATATGCCGAGAATATTCCATGACTGGTTAGCAGAACATGTACCTCAGACTCAGTTATTGGTGTTTGTCACATTTATATAGGTTTTGAAACTAAAAAGATGATTCTAAATGAAATTCTATCATAAGCATGCATGGTAGTCTCCTTTATAAAATTGATATTGCTTGTTTTAGGGAAATGAGGATACATAAAAATTTATATGTAATAATTCAGCGAATGTAACTTTTTTTTGTTGTTCAGGAGAGAAGCCATATGAATGCCCAAACTGCAAGAAACGCTTTTCCCATTCTGGTTCCTATAGCTCACACATAAGTAGTAAGAAATGTATCAGCTTGATACCTGTGAATGGGCGACCAAGAACAGGACTCAAGACATCTCAGTGTTCCTCACCGTCTCTGTCAGCCTCACCAGGCAGTCCCACACGACCACAGATACGGCAAAAGATAGAGAATAAACCCCTTCAAGAACAACTTTCTGTTAACCAAATTAAAACTGAACCTGTGGATTATGAATTCAAACCCATAGTGGTTGCTTCAGGAATCAACTGTTCAACCCCTTTACAAAATGGGGTTTTCAGTGGTGGTGGCCCATTACAGGCAACCAGTTCTCCTCAGGGCGTGGTACAGGCTGTTGTTCTGCCAACAGTTGGTTTGGTGTCTCCCATAAGTATCAACTTAAGTGATATTCAGAATGTACTTAAAGTGGCAGTAGATGGTAATGTAATAAGACAAGTGTTGGAGAATAATCAAGCCAATCTTGCATCCAAAGAACAAGAAACAATCAATGCTTCACCCATACAACAAGGTGGCCATTCTGTTATTTCAGCCATCAGTCTTCCTTTGGTTGATCAAGATGGAACAACCAAAATTATCATCAACTATAGTCTTGAGCAGCCTAGCCAACTTCAAGTTGTTCCTCAAAATTTAAAAAAAGAAAATCCAGTCCCTACAAACAGTTGCAAAAGTGAAAAGTTACCAGAAGATCTTACCGTTAAGTCTGAGAAGGACAAAAGCTTTGAAGCAGGGGTGAATGATAGCACTTGCCTTCTGTGTGATGACTGTCCAGGAGATATTAATGCACTTCCAGAATTAAAGCACTATGACCTAAAGCAGCCTACTCAGCCTCCTCCACTCCCTGCAGCAGAAGCTGAGAAGCCTGAGGCCTCTGTTTCATCGGGTACTGGAGATGGCAATTTGTCTCCCAGTCAGCCACCTTTAAAGAACCTCTTGTCTCTCCTAAAAGCATATTATGCTTTGAATGCACAACCAAGTGCAGAAGAGCTGTCAAAAATTGCTGATTCAGTAAACCTACCACTGGATGTAGTAAAAAAGTGGTTTGAAAAGATGCAGGCTGGACAGATTTCAGTGCAGTCTTCTGAACCATCTTCTCCTGAACCAGGCAAAGTAAATATACCTGCCAAGAACAATGATCAGCCTCAATCTGCAAATGCAAATGAACCCCAGGACAGCACAGTAAATCTACAAAGTCCTTTAAAGATGACTAACTCCCCAGTTTTACCAGTGGGATCAACCATCAATGGTTCCAGAAGTAGTATACCATCCCCATCACCTCTAAACCTTTCCTCATCCAGAAATACACAGGGTTACTTGTACACAGCTGAGGGTGCACAAGAAGAGCCACAAGTAGAACCTCTTGATCTTTCACTACCAAAGCAACAGGGAGAATTATTAGAAAGGTCAACTATCACTAGTGTTTACCAGAACAGTGTTTATTCTGTCCAGGAAGAACCCTTGAACTTGTCTTGCGCAAAAAAGGAGCCACAAAAGGACAGTTGTGTTACAGACTCAGAACCAGTTGTAAATGTAATCCCACCAAGTGCCAATCCCATAAATATCGCTATACCTGCAGTCACTACCCAGTTACCCACAATCGTGGCCATTGCTGACCAGAACAGTGTTCCATGCTTACGAGCACTAGCTGCCAATAAGCAAACGATTCTGATTCCCCAGGTGGCTTACACATACTCAACTACGGTCAGCCCTGCAGTCCAAGATGCACCCTTGAAAGTGATCCAGCCAAATGGAAATCAGGTAAAAACCCCCACCCTGAACCTGGCTAGTAAAATGCTGTTTGACTAATTTCAGTTAATTTTATCTAATAAATATCAGTCCTGTAGAGCCAACTAGGTTATTAGAAATTTTCATTTTTTTAAAAGGATCAGTGTTTGCTTTAACTTTTCTGGCATGATGTCTTCAGTTGGTTGTTTGCTAATCCAATGTACTGTTACCAGTGTAAAGTCTGAAATATTATTCTATGAAAGATGATTTATAAGTCTCAGATAACAACCTGTTTGAAGTTAGAAATAAAAAAGAAAACAGAAATTGAAATAGTAATTGGATTTCTGTTTTTATAGCTAAATTCCTAAAATTAGTAATAGTTTCTGCCTTGATTACGGTCAGTAATAAATGAAAATATGTTCCCATTCATAGGTTCATACCAGGCAAACTTATTTATCACTTTTATATACTAATACATCTGTTTACAAAAGGTTTTAATTAAATAAACAGGAATTAAGTATACAAAGAACGCATCCTGTGAATTCACTGATCATTTCAGGAACTGTGCATAAACAGTGTTCAGTCTTTATATATATGAGGAAATGTGACTGTAAACCTCCATATGCATTTTCCTCCTTAACTATCACTAGTGTTTACCAGAAAGTGTTTATTCTGTCAAGGAAGAACTCTTGAACTGGTCTTGCCCGAAAATCCAAAATAGTTTTGGATAGGGCTGTTGTACGCCTCATTGGCTAGTCTTTTTCCATGTCACTGATGTTGATGTTTTCCTATTTCTTTCCGTTGATTTCTGATGGAATCAAATGAATATTAGAGACAAATTTTATCTTTTATGCAAATATTTGCTATAACTAGGTGCAGCTATAATAATTTCAGTATCCTGCTCAAATGTGTATTGGCTGCTTTTGTTTTCCCTTAAATATTGCTACTGATTGGGTTTCCTGGAATTGTGATAACTCTTGAAAAGAAGTCTTACATGATCAATGAATTCCTCTAAATTTTTGGTATATAGAACATTTTGCATGCCTTTGAATAGAAAAAGAGCCATCCTTAGCATTTCCTGTAATCACATATCACATGCCTAGATCAAGTAGCCGTGAAAGTAGAATCAAGTTACTTCAGCATCAGGGCTGCTCACAAATGACAGGGACAAATTGCTGCATCTCTCTTGCCTCATAAAGCCATAAGAAATGTTGTGAAAAACCTTCCAACTTCTAGAAAATTTGTGGGTTTAGAGGTAATGGCATGGAATACTCTAGATATGGAGAAAGATCTCAGGGGACCCAGTTCCACAGCAGGCTCCCTGCAGGGTTATTCTGACTACATGAGAGCCTGCTGCCCAAAATTATCTCCATGAGACTGCCTGGAGTTTTCTTTTTATCACACTGAAATTCTAAAGATTCATTTTACCTAGCAGTTATTCCTCTTTAAAAGACAGACCCTTCTGCATTGTTTTTCCGTCTTGCTCCTTAGAAAAATGGTAGAGCACACCTCTGTCTTTTCAAGGAGATCGTGGAGGTTAAAGGACGGTGAAGTTCTGGAGGATACAATTGAAATACCAGTTTTTAAAAATAGAATGTTAACTTTTACTTAGTGAAACCCAGAATGAAAAAATGAAGTCACCTGATGCAGTTAGTAATGAGTGATTAATTAGCAAACTAGTAAGTTAAAGCCTTCTGCAAATTTCTCATTATGATTCATATGAAACCAGGTAAACTCTGTTATTATATATTTTACATGCTTGCTTTTGGTTGTCTTGCTTTCTGCCAGTACCAGTTGAGCTGTAGTTTTGACTGTGTTATATTTGACTGTGTTAGGTCTTTGCTTAGTTTTGACTGTTATCCCCAACCTCACTCTTGTCTTTGTTACCTCCACCTGTGATCTGGCCCCACCCTTGGAGCCCATGTGCAGTGAGGATCACTGTGCTTGCTTTGATCAAGTCCTTGAAAGTATAAGTTAAAGTGGTTCTTTATCTCATGCTTTTATGTATATCTTCTGTTTATCTTTTAATGTTAAATTAAACTTTCTCACACCTTTTTCCCTTTAGGATGAAAGACAAGATACTAGCTCAGAAGGAGTATCAAACGTAGAGGATCAGAATGACTCTGATTCTACACCACCCAAAAAGAAAATGCGGAAGACAGAAAATGGAATGTATGCTTGTGATTTGTGTGATAAGATATTCCAAAAGAGTAGTTCATTATTGAGACATAAATATGAACACACAGGTATGTCAGTGAATACAAACATATTAAAAAGTGTCCATGATATGATATTCTGGATTATGCAAAATTAAAAACTAAAGTTTTAGAATTAATTTTTTTTTTTTGCATTGAGATAAGGTCTGGCTCTAGTCACCCAGGCTGGAGTTGCAGTGGCATGTGACCTCAATTTTGGCTCACTGCAACCTCTACCTCCTGGGCTCAAGCCATCCTTTCACCTCAGCCTCCTGAGTAGCGGGCACTATAGGCACATACCACCACACCAGCCAATTTTTATATAGACATGTTTTGCCATTTTGCCCAGGCTGGTCTTGAACTAATAAGCTCAAGCCATCTACCCACCTTGGCCTCCCAAAGTGCTGGGGTTACAGGCATGAACCACCACATTGGACCAGAATTAATTTTTTTATATTTTACTCTCTGATCCTGCCATTTTCACCTGTCAGGCCACTTCTACCTAGTACTTAAGGTCTGTGCCTTTCATTTGGTTTTTTGCTTCATCTGTCTTTTTCATGACTTATTTAAGCTGACACAGCATTTATTCTGTCCACATTCATTTAGTGCAAGGTTATGCTATATTAATAAAAATATAATACATAGTAGCCATCAATAAAAAATACGAGACCAGTGGGCTAAAGTCATAGGGAGACAGGATCTGGCTTCATAAAAGAAAAAGCTGCTTCCTAAGAGTACAGCAGGCTGTCCTGGCAAGTCAAGATCTTTTGTTTTAAGAAAGAAGTTCTGCCTAAGAGGTTGGACTAGACGATTCTAAGATCCTGTAATTCTGAGATTCTATAATTCTGCCACAAAATGTGCTTCCTTAGGTTGACTCAGGGATGGCAAACTATGGCTCACAGCCAAATGTGAGCATCCCCCTGTTTTTCTAAGGCCAATGAGGTACGAATAGTAGTTTTTGTTTTTGTTTTGTTTTACATTTTTAAATGATTGAAAAAGATGAAAAGAATAATATTTATGACTGATGAAAATTACATGAAAGTCAAATGTCAGTATCCCTAAATAAAGTGAGTTGGAAGACAGCATCACCCATTCATTTACATTTTTGTCTATGTCACTTTTATGCTATTCTACATGGCAGAATTGAGAAGCTGCTATAGAGACCATTTGGCCTGCAAAAGCCTTTACTCACTACCCTTTACAGAAAACTGTTGCCAAGTCCCTTCCATCAGTGGATTACTAGTATTCTAACACCTGGTTCTCTGAAGGGTGGGGGAAGCCCTGATTTGTGGTGTTTGCAACTTTTTGTGGCATAAATACTACCATCAAGGTGGATTTCAAGCTTGAATGTGATGTCAGCTTGCAGAATTCCTGAAAATTTAGCAGTAAGCTCTGTCCAGTGAGTACACACTGGCTCCAGCACACTCCTGTGCCTCTCTAACATGGGTTGCCATAGAAGGGGCTGAGTTCATCATGAGCTCTTTAATCTTCTACCAGCTCTTCCCTGCCCCCATTACCAACCATTGTGACTACAATATCCATATTTATCTTTCATATTCTTAACTGTTTCAGTGTATTTTTTACTCTTGTGAGAAAAGATACAGAGAATTGTTTTTCCTTCTTTAATCTGTGGATTCATACAGTGATACTTCAGAGGGTTCTTGGAATTAAAACCTATTATTACATAAGAGAAAGTCACATTTCTCAAAACCAGCTTCTTGTAACTCAGTCCTCTGGTTTTCAGAGATCTAGGAAAAGTCAGAAAGTCTCCTTCCTCTTCAGGCAAGAGTGAAATATTAGCAAATATCAAAGTGAAAAACATATATGAAAAACTATACTATTTCTAAAATTAAAAATCATTCCTGTTTCTGTTAGTGTTAACTGCTTGATAACCCTGAAATTGGACATTATCATTCCTGACTATGATCAGTTGTTATAGTCCTCAGGTCTGGGTAGCAGTATTCCCCTGGCCCATGTGTTCTCAGGAAGGCGAATATTGCCCTCACAGGCCAAAACGTTTCTTAGCGGGCAAAAATACCTGAGATACTACAATGGCTTGTGGTTTTCTAAAGAAGCTCAGTATATAAACTGTGTATTTATGAGTTTTACCATATGTAAAAAGTATATAGTAAGCACCAAAACTTCATTGGGGCGGAGCTTGTGACTAGGAAAAAAAATGACTCAAAAGGGTCCTTGGCCAGGCACGGTGGCTCACACCTGTAATCCCAGTACTTTGGGAAGCTGAGGTGGGCAGATCACAAGGTCAGGAGTTAGATACCGGCCTGGCCAACATGGTGAAACCCCGTCTCTACTAAAAACCCAAAAATCAGCTGGGCGTAGTGGCAGGTGTCTGTAATCCCAGCTACTCGGGAGGCTGAGGCAGGAGAATCACTTGAAACCGGAAGGCAGAAGTTGCAGTGAGCCAAGATCACACCGCTGCACTCCAGCATGGGTGAAAGAGCAAAATTCCATCTCAACAAAAAAAGTGGGGGAGGGGGTCCCACTGGTGGTGATAATGAAGAACACAAGGTGAGCAGCATGTCTGTCCCTGTCTGCCCTCACTGTGCTCATGCACGGCCAGGCATCTCCTCCCAGCTGCACTTGGCCCATTTTCCACCTCACTGTCATGATGCATGTATTTTTGGCATTTCAAATTCATGTAGTTCCCACTGACCTAATCATCTGCACAGCAGAGTGTATAGCACCACATTTTTTAATATAAAGGACAAACCTAATTGCAGTATTGTATTACAAACAGCTTGGGACCTGGAAGTGTTTTAAAAATGAAACGAATAACCCTCCCCTTTCTACAACCTGAAGTACCCCAAAAAACATATAAGGATTTGATTTGCTGAATACCACCATTTTATTTCATAGCTATATTCTTATTTTGCAGGTAAAAGACCTCATGAGTGTGGAATCTGTAAAAAGGCATTTAAACACAAACATCATTTGATTGAACACATGCGATTACATTCTGGAGAAAAGCCCTATCAATGTGACAAATGTGGAAAGCGCTTCTCACACTCTGGGTCTTATTCTCAACACATGAATCATCGCTATTCCTACTGCAAGAGAGAAGCAGAAGAACGTGACAGCACAGAGCAGGAAGAGGCAGGGCCTGAAATCCTCTCGAATGAGCATGTGAGTGCCAGGGCGTCTCCCTCGCAGGGCGACTCAGACGAGAGAGAGAGTTTGACAAGGGAAGAGGATGAAGACAGTGAAAAAGAAGAGGAGGAGGAGGAGGAGGATAAAGAGATGGAAGAATTGCAGGAAGAAAAAGAATGTGAAAAACCACAAGGGGATGAGGAAGAGGAGGAAGAAGAGGAGGAAGAAGTGGAAGAAGAAGAAGTAGAAGAGGCAGAGAATGAGGGAGAAGAAGCAAAAACTGAAGGTCTGATGAAGGATGACAGGGCTGAAAGTCAAGCAAGCAGCTTAGGACAAAAAGTAAGCGAGAGTAGTGAGCAAGTGTCTGAAGAAAAGACAAATGAAGCCTAATCGTTTTTCTAGGAGGAAAATAAATTCTAATTGGTAATGAAGTTTGTTCTATATTATCCTTGCTTTTAATGGAAACACAGTAACCTGTATGCTGTGATTCCTGTTCACTACTGTGTAAAGTAAAAACTTAAAAAAATACAAAATACAAAAAAAAAACACACACACAAAAAAGAAATCCGGGTGTGCCTGAACCTCAGACCTAGTAATTTTTCATGCAGTTTTCAAAGTTAGGAACAAGTTTGTAACATGAAGCAGATTAGAAAACCTTAATGACTCAGAGAGCAATGATATAAGAGGTTAAAGGAAGCTGATTAATTAGATATGCATCTGGCATTGTTTTATTTTATCAGTATTAATTATCACTCATATGTTGGTTTATTCTTAAGCTGTACAATTGGGAGAAATTTTATAATTTTTTATTGGTAAACATATGCTAAATCCGCTTCAGTATTTTATTATGTTTTTTAAAATGTGAGAACTTCTGCACTACAAAATTCCCTTCACAAAGAAGTATAATGTAGTTCCAACCCGTGCTAACTACCTTTTATAAATTCAATCTAGAAGGTAGTAATTTCTAATATTTAGATGTCTTAGTAGAGCGTATTATCATTTAAAGTGTATTGTTAGCCTTAAGAAAGCAGCTGATAGAAGAACTGAAGTTTCTTACTCGTGGTTTAAAGTGGAGTTCAAAAGATTGCCATTGAGTTCTGATTGCAGGGACTAACAATGTTAATCTGGTAAGGACAGCAAAATCATCAGAATCAGTGTTTGTGATTGTATTTGAGTATGTGGTAACAAATATGAAGGATATGACATGAAGCTTTGTATCTCCTTTGGCCTTAAGCAAGACCTGTATGCTGTAAGTGCCATTTCTCAGTATTTTCAAGGCTCTAACCTGCCTTCATCCAATGTGTGGCCTACAATAACTAGCATTTGTTGATTTGTTTGTTGTGTCAAAATTCCCAAATAAAACTTAAAACCACTGACTCTGTCAGAGAAACTGAAACACTGGGACATTTCATCTTTCAGTTCCTCAGTATTGATTTTACATTAATTGACTTTCAGAATTTCTCTACAGAAATGAAAGGGAAATTTTCTAATCTGCTTTTTCCATGTACTTGCATGTCAAACATGGACATGCCATTGTTATTTGGCTCATAACTGTTTCCAAATGTTAGTTATTATGGACCCAATTTATTAACAACATTAGCTGATTTTTACCTATCAGTATTATTTTATTTCTTTTAGTTTATAGATCTGTGCAACATTTTTGTACTGTATGTCTTCAAACCTGGCAGTATTAATATCCTTCTTACTGACATATGTACTTTTAGTTTTAGAAAACTTTTATATTTATGTGTCTTATTTTTATATTTCTTTATTTATTACACAGTGTAGTGTATAATACTGTAGTTTGTATTAATACAATAATATATTTTAGTATGAAAATTTGGAAAGTTGATAAGATTTAAAGTAGAGATGCAATTGGTTCTCCTGCATTGAGATTTGATTTAACAGTGTTATGTTAACATTTATACTTGCCTTGGACTGTAGAACAGAACTGAAATGGGAATGTATTAGTTTTACAACTACAATCAAGTCATTTTACCTTTACCCAGTTTTTAATATAAAACTTAAATTTTGAAATTCACTGTGTGACTAATAGCATGATACTCTGCAGTTTTATTAAGAGATTAGCCTAACCATAAAACTCTCATTTCCTTAGTAAGCCAAATTAGGGTTACCTTCTATAAACAGTGTTGGGAACAATGTTTAACATTTTGTGCCAATTTGTTCCTGTATTCATGTATGTAAGTTACAGATCTGACTCTTCATTTTTAAGTTCCTTGTTACACCATGGTCATTTTCTAGTTTTTTACCAGACTCCCCCATCTCACAATAAAATGCATCAACAAGCCTGAACTGCTGTCATTCTTTTCATCATTATCAGTATTTTCTTTGGAAAACTCTGAAATGGGGTAAACCGTCATCCTGCATTTGATTCATCTTGAGCTGAATTTGGGTAACACTAAATGTTTTCAACATCCTCCAGTAAATTGTGGATTTTCTTGTGGCTGAATTTTTCTGGAGAGGTCAGAGTTGACAAAGGCCCCTCCACAGGTTGCTACCGCTTTCTGAAATCCTTAATCCTCAACATCTCATGCTTCAGGTCATTTCAGGGAAGCCTGGTTTTAGATGCCTTTCTGACTCTCACAGCTCCTCACTCGGTCATCATACCTCTGATACTATTATTTAGATTCCTTCCCCACTAGGAACAGGGACCATGTTTGTCACAGTCACTCTCACACTCCTAACTCCCTAACAGGGTGCCTGGCCCAAGTTGGGACAACAGGTACTCGTTGAGTGAAAATATAATTTGCATGTTCATGGGGTTCAGCTATGTTCTCTACTTTTTTTGCTTCTAATTCCAGAATATATATGTTAAATGATTCTAATAATTTGATGATTTTCTTATAAGTCTTATTAAAGTCATAATAGACAATAAATTATACCTTCTTTTTCTATTGCCTTACTATTTTGATTTTTTTGAGAGTGTATTTCTAGGTGTCTTCCTGGTGCTTAACCTCACAGTATATGGCACAGATATTGCTGGCTTGTGGACATGACTACCTCCAATAGGAGTGAAAGGACAATTCTAGTCGCCTCTCCTTTTGTAGAATTTACTTCCCTTTCTAGGACCCCACATACCTAGTTTCTGGTTACCATTTTTCCTGGTTTCCTCTGTCACTGAGAGCAGCTATCGGTAAACAGATTCACTGAAAAGGATTAGGAACTAAGAATAACAAACTCTTCTTAGGAGGTAGCCACACTATAATATAAAGCTCAATGAGGGCAGTGCTTCATTTGTATGGATAAATGGCTAATAAAGGAATTTAGGCATTACCAGAACTTTTCAGAAGGAAAATGTATGTGGACCCTTCCCAGTATTCCCTCATATCACATAACAAAAATAGTAGCAGAGTCATTTGTTATTTATTCATGGCATGCACAGGTATTTCATTACAACTATCAAGATGTTCACAAAAGCCTCATTAAAAAAATACAAATAAAGACCATGTGCCCATAACCACATGTATCTTAAGTACCAGAATGAGTATATGAACATAGGCCTATTTGACTCCAAAATCCATGCTTTTTTGGGGGGGGGGAGCAGAGGGAGATAGGATCTTGCTCTATTGCCTGGGCTGAAGTGCAATGGCATGAACATGGCTCACTACTATGGCCTCAACCTCCTGGGCTCAAGTGATTCTCCCACCTCAGCCTCCTGAGTAGCTAGTACTACAGGCATACCACCACCACACCTAGCTAATTACTTTTTTTTTTTTCGTAGAGCCAGAGAGTCTCACTATGTTTCCCAGGCTGTTCTCAAACTCCTGTGCTGGAGGAATCCTCCTGCATTGGCCTCCCAAAATGCTGGGATTACAGGTGTGAGCCACATTGTTCAGCCTGAAATTCATGCCTTTCCCTAGCCTGTATCACATCTCATGTGATAATAGCTTGCAGTATCTCAATCTTGGCTTCGAAGCATATGAATAGAAAATGTAAGACCAATATACATTTCATAGCCTGGTAGAAAAGAATGGGTGGGGAATGAGATTTTTCAAATCTGTGTGCAAACTTAAAAAGAACTTGTAAAGGATACTATTAAAGTGCAGTGATTATGTTCACGTGAAAATGTAACCTTAGAACAGATTTCACCTCTTAATATCATTGAATGTAAGAATATTACCTCTGAAACAAAAAAGCAGAAGCTCCTGCTCTAGTTCACATTCTGTTCAACAATAGCAGAATACATACATTTTTCCTAACACATGGGACATTCATGAAGATGGACCATATTATGGGCCATAAGTCAACTCTCAGATTTAAAAGAATTGCAAACAAAGCATTTTATTTGACTACAAAAGAATTTAACTAATTAAACTAGAAATCAGAAATTCAAATGTATCTGAAAAATCCCTCAAATTATTGGAAAATTGAGATTAGCTCATGCATGGCTAAAAATAAATTATAAAATATGAGCCAAAGGAAAATACAGCATATCAAAACTTGTAGCTTGCAGCAAAAGCAGTGGATATAAGAAAATGTATAGCATTAAAAGCTTACATTGGAAAATAATAATTAACTGAATCTTATCCTAGCTTGCATCTTAAGAAATTAAAAATAAAGCGAAACCAAGCAGGAAAGAGGAAATAATAAAAATGGCACAGAAAACAAAATAGAGTAAATCATTGAAATCAGAATTTTTTTTAAGATTAGAAAAATTGATAAACCTCTACCTAGAGAGATCAAGGAAAGGAGAGAAGAGATACAAATTACTAATACCAAGACTGAGAGAGAAGACAACATTATAGATCCTACAGAGTAAATAATAAGGAAATATTAAGAACTTTATGCCAGTAAATTTGGCAACTTAGATGAAAATGACATATTTCTTGACTCAAACTACCAATATTCCATCAAGAATAGATAACTTCAACTGTCTAATATCAAGGAAATTACATTTCTAGTTAAAAATCTTCCCAAAAAGAAAATTCCCAGCCTAAACAACTTCACCGGTGAATTCTACCAAACCTTTAAGGAAGATAACTGTACCCATTCTACACAAACTCATCCATAAAACTGAAGAGGAGAAAACACTTCAGCCTGTAAAGCCAGCATTAACCTGATGCCAAAACAGACAATGACATTACAAGAAACAAAAACTACAGATTAATATTGCTTATAAACATGGATACAAAAATTCTTAACAAAATTTAAGAAATCAATTTGAACCATATATCTAAAGAAAAATACATCATGACCAAGTGAGATTTATCCTAAGAGTGAAAGGTTTTTCAGCATTCAAAAATCAGTTACAGATACTTCTTCCCAGGGATTGCATCCCAACAAATCCATCATAAGTTTAAAATACCATGTCAAGAATGCATGTAGTACACCTACTGAACATCTTGGCCTAGCCTAACCTGACTTAAACATGCTCAGAACAGCCTACAGTTGGGCAAAATCATCTAACACAAAGCCTATTTTACAAGAAAGTGTTGAATGCTGGCAACACAGTAGTACACTGTGGAGTATCAGTTGTTTAACCTCATGATCATGTGGCTGATGAAACTGTGGCCTCTGCTGTTTTGCAACATCACAAGAGGATTGTACTGCATATTGCTATCCCAAGAAAAGTTCAAAATTATGGTTGATCAAGAATATCAAAATATGGTTGCAACTGAATGTGTATTGCTTTTGCATCATCAGAAATTGAAAGATTATAAAGTCAAGCCATCATAAGGTAGGGGCCATTTGTAGTGCAATTCACTGTCTTTACAGCATAAAAAGAAAAAACAGTAAGTGTAAAGAAGCATCTAACAAAATTCAACACCAAGCCATAAACATTCTCAGCAATCCAGGAATAGAAGAGTTTTCTCAACCCAATAAAGAGCATCAACAAAAAAACCTATAGTTAACATCATACTCAGCATGTAGGATTCAATGCTTTCCCCTGAAAATTAGGAACAAGGCAAGAATAGCTGCTCTCACACCTTTATTGAACATTGTACTGGAGATCCCACCCAGAGCAACATGGCAAAAATGAAAGAAATACATGCTGGAGAAAAAAGAAGTAAAACTTTATTTGCAGACAGTATGGCTGTCTGTGCAGAAAACAAGGAATTTGCAAAAAACTAGGAAAGGTGAATGTAAGGTTGCACAATAAAGAGTCATTATGCAAAAATCAATCACATTCTGACTAGTGATAAGAATGGAAATTTTTTAAATATGAAAAATATAAAATACTTAAAGATATTTGATAAAATATGGGCAAAACCTGTACAGAAAACTATAAAATGTTGTTGGAAAGAAATTAAAAATGCAACAAAAATTGACATACTCTATGTTCATGGATCAGAAGATTCAATATCATTAAGATGTCAATTCTCCCCAAGATTTATTGACTCAATTCAGTTGCAGTAAAAATCTCAGCCACGTATTTGCAGAAATTGCCAGGTTGGTTCTACACTTACATGGAAATGCAAATGACTTCAAGCAGGCAAGACAATTTTGAAAAAAAAAAAAAGTTGGAGGACTTACACTAAATGGTTTTTACAGTCATTTTTATAAAGCTACAGTAATCAAGACAACGTATTGGGTGAGAGAATAGACATATAGATCAAGAAAACAGAAATAATAGTAAAAAAAAAAAAAAACCCACACATACATAGCCAATAGATTTTTGCCAAATGTTTCAAGGTATAAGTGGTGACTGATCATCTTTTCAAAAGCAATGCTGATACTAGATATCCATATGCAGGAAAATGAACTTGATTCTTACCTCACACCATATACAAAAATTGATTCAAAATAGATTATAGACCTCAATACAAGAGCTAAAATTATAAAACTTCTAGAAGAAAATAAATCTTTGCCATCTTGAGTTAGACAAAGGCTTTCTAGATAAGACACTAAAAGCATGAATCATAGAAGAAAAGAATTGTTGGATTGGACTTCATCAAAATATAAATCTCTTAAGAAGATACTATTAAGAAAATCAGAAGGGGATACACAGACAGGGAGAAAATATTTGCAAAACATCTATGCATATACCCAAGCGACATTTAAAACATGTTTGCACAAAAACCTATATATGAATGTTTATAGCAGTATTACTTATAATAGCCAAAAAATGTAAACAACCCAAATCCATCAATTGATGAATAGTTAAAATATAGTATAGCCATACAATGGAATACTATGCAACCTTAAAAAGGAATGAAATTCTTGTACACGCTACAAGATAGATGAATCCTGAAAACATTATGCCAAGTGAAAGAAACCAGTCACAAGAGTACATGTCCTATTATTCAATTATATGAAATGTCCAAAATAGGCAAATCAGTATAGAGAGGAAG